AGGAGCTTGAACTGATTGGCACTTTCCAGCTGCTGCTGCCAGCTTAGCCCAGTATGCACTTGGCCTGAGCTGCTCCGCAGTTACAAAACGTCAGGTTGGGCCGTCTACCACAGCTGTCCTTTGAGTTAAAGGTTAAACAGCACAGGAACCTGCCCTAAACCAAGTGAGTTGCCCCAAACAGGTGTCTCAATCGCGAATTGTTCCCACTCTACCTACAACGATGCTGGAGTAATCTAGAGTTATATAATGCTATGTATACACATAGGTACCCATGTATACATGCATACATGCCGACATGCATGGGTGCATGTACCTCTGTGTTTAAGCACGTAGGTTTGTGTGCATGGAAGTGTGTATGTATGTTTGTATGGATTGGATGTATGCATGTATGTATATGTCTATGGTATGGACGAAGGGTCGACCTACATGTACCTGTAGATACAGATGTTCGTACAACCATGTGTGTATATATATATATATCCATATATATATATACATATACATATACATATACATATGCATATGCATATGCATATGCATATGCATACATATATATATATGTACAAATAAATTTAACAAACAAACAAATCCACATGTATAAACATAGTGCATGCATACATGCTTATCTACTTACATACATACGTACATAGAGACGTGAGCACATACATAGGCCAGAGCATGGGTTGGAGAGCTGAGCACACTGATCGGTGCCACGGGATGCTATGCAATCCGCCCTTCAGGTTTAAGCGTCCTTTGACTGCGCAGGTACATCTGCTTCTTGTTGTCGCCGGCCTTCAAGTAGTAGCTTTTGGTTGCCGGGGCACCATCCCTGGTCGTTCCGCCGGCGAGGGCGGCGACCAGGCAAGGCGGATTCATGACCGGGCCTCACTCAGGTAGGATGCCACGACTCCTAACATCTCCTAACGTCAGGTTCGGTGTCAGGATTGTAAGAATGCAACACGGTCCGCTCGCAGACAGGTGATGTGTAGCAAGGGGATTCAGGGTTAAGGGTTTTCTTTAGCATTGTTGCTGCTACCGTTGGGGGGGTCACCAAGTGTCAACGTGTGAATGCAGAAGCCTGCGTGACAAATCCCTAGGCACCCCAGACCAAACTTTCAACCCCAGTCAACTCAGCCCTACATGCTACTTAGCATGCGAGTCGAAAACTACTCCCTAAAGCCGCGGCACGTCTCCCCAGCCAGAGCTGCTAGCTCACTCGCTCATCCAGGCTAGGCTTTGCAGCAAGCCTCAGGGGACTTAGGTTGGTAGGTTGGGCGTAGAGTTACAAGGTCTAACACCTGCAACCCTGGACTCTAGACCTGAAACGAGTGGGAAGGGAAGCAAGCCCTTAAACCTTACAGCCCTACACTCTTCAACCCTGTGATCTGAAAGCCCTCAACTAGCATCCTTCGGCTGTATGGTTCACGGTCTAAAGAGAATACACACCCTAGGCCCAGATCTAAACCTTCAACCCATAGCTTACCCTAGACGTTCTGCCCCTGCACCTGCAGACCTACCTAGACCCTGGAATGTAACACTATGTGTTGGAGAAGTTGTGCGTATGTTTAAGACCCTACATAAGAAACTAAGGTAACCTAAGAAAGATACTCCTGCAATCCTAAACCTACATGATAAGGTCTAGTCTAGGTATCCTCCAACCTCCTAAGTCCACTGAGCCTCGCGCAGGATGGGTGCCAACCTGTGCTCGCAGCAAGGTGCGAACTCGGAAGTCTCCTTTCGTGTTGAGATGCGCGTGCCGTTTTTGGGGCTTGGGACTATATTATCGGGTTTATAGGCTTCTACTGCAGGTGCGTGCAGTGTTCCGGGTTAGGAAGACAGCTTTAAAGTCCCGCGCTATTTCTCGTTGAGGGTTCGCATGTGTAGAGGACAGAGAAGAGCTCTAAAGAAAGGCTTAGGCGTTTAGGGGCTGGGCAGTCTGAGCTTGGACTGACTCCTCGCTCTTGGCAGGATGCAGTTCATGTATGCCACGAACCTAGGATTCCTGTGTTGGCTATGATCACAGAGGTCTGTGGGATGCTTGCGACTTCGGACTTATATAAGACTGGGGATTGGGAGGAAAAGGGGGTTGAAGAGACAAGGGTTGCACCCTAAACCCGAAGCTCTAAACGGTAGTTCGGCCGAATTCGTCCAGTGCTGAGAGGTTTTGTGATCCGGGTTCCTTCGCATGCTGTCCCGGCACGGTCTGTTCGGCCGAGAGTCTGCTAGACTTCATGCTGTGTTGGCCCTAAACTGCAAGCCCAGCCTCCCAAAGTTACCATCCCTAAGCGCTGCTCGAGGTCAGCTAGATTCGCACAGCAGCTTCTTGCCTAGACAGGCGCATTTTCCAGCTGCACAGCATGCACGACCATCGACGCAGCAGATTGGATCTTTTGCCTGGATACGCATGGGCAGGCCTCTCTTGGATGGGCTTCGGTGCCGGGAAGTAGTCATTATTAAATATCATCTGATGCAGTTGGAAGCCGTTCGCCTTGAGGCGACTCGAATAAGGTGAGGGAGCACGAAGGTGCGAATTCAGTGTTGTGTTGACTGAACGAAACAAGACGGTTCGAGTCTGGCATGAACATTCCGTTTCTGGGTTGCCTCAGTGATGTCTCGCATGTTACAATTGCCAGCCGCACAAGTAGCGCCTACATCTTCGTGACAAAGATGATGATCATGTTGCACAAGTCCGCATGCATTCTGCACGAAGCGTGTCGTGAGATGTATTCGCAATCTCTGAACACCCACTGCAGCACACAATCTGTCAAGATAGCAGAAATCAATCCCCCCACGGTCTTGGATGCCGCCCAATTCGCAAGAACGTGTCACAATGTGCCGTGTGCCCACCTGTGTGCTGGATTCATTCATCCGCATAGCGATTTCAAGATGCAAACCCAAACCCTAAACAGCTGTGCCGCTTCAATCTTGGAGAGTTCAACTTGCCTTGGGATCCTCCCTGTGCCTTAGTTGGAACGAACTCCCTGCGGTGCGACTTAGTCAGCTTGGTGGTTGGCGAAGAAAAGACGATAAACACGCTTGATAGCCGAGAGTGGACAGGTGGAAACGAAGCGGCTGCGAAAAGCTAAGGCACGTGGGGGAGGGGGTAGTAGGTTTTTGAGGAGGCATGTACAGTATTTCTGGCTTTGGGCGGCGTTCAAGGAAGTCGGCGTCTTCGTTCCTCAAAGCAGGAAGGCACCCTAAACTCGAGTAGGCCCTAAGCATATCCTTCGCAAAATCTCAGCAAACCATGTAGCCCAGCCAGACCTGTTTCGAGCCACCATCCCCGAGAATCACTCAGGACTATAGTTGACAAACTTGCATACCTATGCGTTACATACATGTGCACATGCATGTCCATCGCTGATCCGGCATAGGCTGCCGGCTCAAGGTTTCAGGGTTCGACCTTGGACCTGATAGTCAGCGCTCCCTGCGCTCATGAGAAGCACATCTGCAGACGGACGTAGCCAAAGCCTTCAGTTGAAAACCATAGCTCTGAGGCTTGCAACAACCCTGTCAGAACGAGTGGCCGCAGGTTCCAAACTCTGAAATCGCTAGGCACTGTGCAATTGAACGGTATGAGGGGTCACAGGTGTCCTTCAAGACCCTCTGCAACGTCTCAGGATTAACATGGTCTCGTTCCTTTCTCCCACCCCAGTGCACGCCTAAGCGGAGGTATTCCATACGGATTATCCGAGAAGGAGAAGAGACATACTACCCGCAATGCGCAAGATATTCCTTCTATCAACGCAACCAGCAGTTGTAACATGTGGGTCTTGACAATGGCGACGCCTCATCGTCATCATCACCATCATCATCTTCGTATACCCAAACGGAAGACAAGAACACCGTTTTGTAGTTTAGAATGTCTCGACACCCTCGCACCGGAGCTGTCAAGGATAAGTTCGCCAAAGAGACTTTGGAGCTTGATCCTTCCAGGTCGGGCGCATCAGTGATGTCCTACATGTGTGTACAAGCTATCTGTTCAGTTTGTCCGTCTGTCTGTCTGTCTGTCTGTCTGCGTGTCTGTGCGTGTCTGTGTGTTCGAGTTGAGTTGTGTATGTGGTCTCAGATATGTCCTGTGCATGTCTGTGTGTCTGTGTGTGGTTGCAGATGTGCGTATGTGTATGTATGCTGTGCATGGATGGATTGCTCTAAAGCGGTGTTCCATCGTTTGAGGCCATGGTCCCAGCTTCGAGATCTTGCGCAGTTGATACCAAGGTCCCAGGTTGATTTCCAAAACAGCTTGGCGGGTTGGCTAGGCTTCGAGATGCAAGATTCCATGCTGTCGAAACCATACTTTTACTCATGCACCAACATCATGCCAATTAAACTACCAGCATCTTGGAGTGTCCAAGCGAAGCATGGTGTACTGGACTTTACCGCTGCGTGTACATTTGCTCGCCTTGTGCTTTCCACCTGTTTCCAGTTCTGTTGGCAGCTGTATGGCCAGTGCTGTGTGATGAGCCTTTCATCTACGAGGTACAAACATGTCGTCTACATGTGCATTATATGTCCGTGCACATTTGCATAGTCACGCGCATTTTCAGGTTTCTGCCGATACAGACTCTAGAGTCGACGTCGACTCTCCAACTGTGAGCATCATTGTATGTGCGTGACAGCTGCATCAGCGACAAGTTCACAATGTCAGCAAGGTGGACATGCGTAGTTGCGTAGGGCCACAATTTGTCACATGTCTATTATGTCTGTATCAGTATCACAAAAGACCACACAAGTATGTACAGACACGCAGTCGTGTCTACATGCACATGTTTTGGTACGTACGCCTCTCACAAACACACGCACACACACACAGACATGCTCACAAACATGCGCATAGCTTTAAGTCATGCCTCAAGTAGCTGTAAGCGATCTCAACCGAAGACATGTTATTATGGTGTGTGATATTGTGCGCAGACTTCAATTCTTTTCTTTGGAACGCTACACAGGGAGAAAAGCCCTTGTCAGGACAGCCTTGCCCACTGAGGTTAGAAACTTTGACCATGGATTTGTTCAAGGCACCGACTCCGATATTTGCTTCTGGTGGCATTTTGGTGGTACAGCCCAGCATTCTAGCATTGATGTCTCCTACATTGACGGAGCTATCCGACGACGCTGTTTGTGACAGTTAATGATAGTTGCTATAATAAGGAAGTGGCAGAAGTTGTTGCTGATGACTTTGGACATTTTACGAGAATCACCGGTGCTGCCCACGGCGATGTTGCTCGTGATGGGTGTGAAAGAGCCGTTGACGATTGTTGGTTGTACTCTTGAGCAGTTGTACGCTGCTGACTGTTGAAGGTGGCTTTTTAATCATGAAATCGTCTTGGGTATTCATGTGCCCATGTTGTGCAGGATGATGTTGGCTATAAGGCTCGAAGGTGTCAATCGTTGTAACGAAGCTTACAATGGTTTCGGCAATGCCGACGATGAAGCTCCATCACCTTCTGGTACATCCACATCCTCATCACCGCCACCACTGCCATCACCGCCCATCATGCCATACACCGTCCCCACCGCCACCTCCGCCACCAAGAGAAATCCCACCACCCCGCCACCACGAGCACCACCAGTGCCGGTTGCTACCACCACGAACACCTCATCAACATCAGTACCAGCACTTCCAGCGGAACTCATTGTCGTTCCAACCGAACAAACACCTCCCCGTGTCGGAAAGCTAAATAGCACACTTGCCTTTCGGCGGGTCTCTCATCTTCTGAAGCTCCCGACAATGTTACATATACAGAGCCCGTGGCAGGCGCATGACTTGAATGGCGACGGCTTCCTTCAGGAGAACGGTGCAAAAGAGTCAGCAGATCCTGCTGGGAACTGCACGGAGCACGAACATATCAACAGCAGGGCCAAATAAACATGGTGATCAGACGCAGTATAATTACCGACAATGCAACAGAGAATGAAGGCAGCAACAGTCTTTCTGGATGTAGTGATGGTGAGAAGCTTTAGCTCATGGGCAATCATGATTTCAAGGCTGCTGGCTCTTTTCACTTGACGCCATTCTTTTCGAGTCGGTAATGCCAGGAGCCACCCACCCGCACAGCATGAAGACACACGCACAAGCACACACACACACACTCACTCGCGCGCACAGGCACATGTATATGCACAGAGAGAGGACTTGAATTTAAAGAAGTTCGCCAACATCTCACAACTTGCCGTCGCATTTTCAGATGCTGTTTTTTTTTTGATGTTCTCGTATTCGTCGGCATTGTTGTGGGTGCCTGTGTGGGGGGTAGCGAATGGCTTCTTGCAAAAAACCTTCAGCAAAGCGGTTCGCACAGAAGCGACACAGCAGTGGTGAGTCCGAGTGTATTTGCTGCAATCTACCTGTTTATCTGTCAATCTACATTAACGCTGCAACGTCCCTGAGCTTCCTGAAGCCGAAGACCCAAACTAAAGACTCTAAGCTCCAAGCAATCCCTGCCGAAAGCCAGCACCGCGCCCGAGTAAGTACAACAGACATATATACGAACAAAGAGGCATGAACAATAGATCAAAGCTATATGCATCCTTAACAAAGTCTTAAGAAGCTACAGGAGATGGAGCTCATTACCCTGAACGAGCGCATCGCCATGCTTCATCATGGTAAAGGTGCTTTCGTCGCCCGACACGTGAAGGGGGTGGGCTGTCCTTCGGCTCATGGCTTTGATTGGGGAGGCTCGGGTGTCGGAGGTGTAAGGCGTACCCGTTTGTTCCGGCGTTCCGTGATCCAACCCTTGAACTTCCCACTTTGGCAAGGTGTTGCGGCAGACCCGAAGGACTTGAACAAATTACGCGTTTACCAGAGTGGGCTTATTCATCAGTGTCCTTTCTGTTGTCATTTGTTCGCCGTTATTGCTGGCCTCCGGCCATGGTTGTCAAAAAAGCAGCCACAAACCCGGAATCCTCGCTGCCACAGCCAATACACTACTGTACTTTCTTCTGACAAGTAGTTAGGTGAGAGCATCGGCGGATGACGGCGGATATATGAAGGCTTCTTTTTCAACAACCCGCTTCCAAGGAGCTGCAAGAGGTACGAGACACGTGCCTTCGGCTGCAGTGAACCGGGGATCATTCGAACGAATTCGCAGACGACATGTTCTGCATGTTCGGCGGCACATCCTCTGGCAAGAATATCGCCTTGAACTGAGTATGCCTAGGTTTAATGATCCCATAGGGCATTGGATATTCCCTAGAGCATGTAGGTTGACTTTCAATGCATGCATACGACAAGAGTCAGATGCACAACCTGGCTACACGAACACGTATAGCACGTATAGCACATAAAGACATGTAGTATAGAGTACAGTGCAGCACAGTACCGCCTCGTAAATGCGTGGTGTGGCAGTGCCGGTGTGGAATGGAGTAGAACGGCATGGTCTAGTACATCACCACATGGTGTATCGTGAAAGAAGAAAGGCTTTGCACCGCAGAGTAGAGTAGAGTATAGTATGGTAATGTAGAGTGCAGATGGCAGCATGGCATAGCATAATATAGTGGTTCTGTATACTATACTACGACAGAATATAGCAGATTACTTGCTATCATGTCGCATAGCATACCATCACAACATGTGGCAACATGTAGAAACACACCGTATACTTGAATATGACGACATGTGACATTATATGTTTCAGTTTCAGACAGTAGATTGTACTTGTTTCTAGACCATATATTATAGCCTATTAGCAGAGAAAATAACTTGTCTTTCTATAGCCGCGCATGATTTGCACTAATACAGTGGTACTCAGTGTAATATATAATGCCTTGCCAGGCATGTCGTACCATGTGTTGTGGTTCACAATTAGTCCATGCTCATATTTTACAAAGACACTATGTCATGTCTATGTTTTTGTTTACACTTATGCACTGGTGTACTATGCCATATGCTATAGGCGATGCTCTACTATAGCGACAACCTGATCGCTCCCGCTCTATACCTAGTTGTCTAAGTCCTTCTTTATTTATCTATCTATCCATCCATCCATGTACATACTTATGTTTGCACTGTTCCGTTTATGTAAGTATGCACACATAAATTTGGAACGATTGCACGTTCGTTCCTTCTGGCTGTTGTTGCCGTTGAGTCGTTACCCCTAGAGTCCTGATCCCCACATCCTAAATCTTCTCATCTCCCGCGCGCCATCCGTACACGAAGGTCCTTAACGCAGAGTCCAAGCCCTTCTTGGGGGGTGCCGGGTTATTTCGAGTTGAGGGGTTTCGGGTTTAGGGTTTTCGGAGTGTTTAGTTTTTGCTTCTTAAAACTCCCAGGCCCTATCAAAACCCCGACGCTCCGAGATACTCGCGCCTCTTCCGGACGAAGCTGGACCCACAGGGTCGACCTGTTCCCTTCGAAATCTTCCGAAGGCTTGCTGTCGGACTCCGAAAATTTGGGGGTTCACTACTTGAAGATATGAGACATGAGAAGTTTCAGGTTTCGGGATTGCTTCATGTTTGGAGTTGCCTTCTCTGGGTGCTCGGGGTGCGGATGTTTCCTAAACCCCGTTTTGGGAGCTTTTGCGGCGAGGTGTGCGGGCCGTGTGCTTTTCAATGAGGCGTCAGAGCTAGTTGGGGAACGTTAAGTTCCAGTTACTTGTCGTGTGGGGTATCGGCGGAATATGTGCGACTTCACGAGCACAGGTACGAGCTCCTGAAAATGAAAGCGGATTCTACACTTCTACACAACCTCATCCGTCCTGATGTGTTCTCTTTCGAGTTCAGATACCCTTGACTCGTGCAATTCGCGGGTGTTGCAGTAACGCGACTGAAGGTGGTTTTGCCGCACTTTTGCGGTTTCTAAGTGATGGGTCTGTGCAAAGCAGCACTGTAGAGACCCCAAACGCTTGAAGAAAGGAAATGCGTATGTCTTTGGCTCACACTCGGAACCTCATCCGGTTTTGGGGTTGGGGTAGGATTTCAGGTCGCGTTTTCAGCTTCTGAGGTTTGCGAGGTTGCGGTTTTCGGTGCAGGACCTTCGTCATGGGGTTCACGGTGGGCACTCCAGGAAAACTCTGTAAACGTTGGCTGTCGGATCAGGTGGAGACTTCGAAGTAGTGCGGCTTGCGACGAAGGGTCGTAGCTTGAGTAGAGCTGAAGGCTTCTGTGTCCTTTGGGTTTCTGTTGGGCTTTGTTCGGATTAGGGTTCTCGAAAGGGTGCCCCTTCCTAAAGGCATTCGTGTTGTGCAGCTTGGCGCGATTTTCGTCCCTTAAAGGGCAGTCCCATGTTGCGACAACTCCCAGATATGCGCGGGGCGTGCTGGAAGAGCTCGATCAGGATCCTGAAGCGCAGGACTGACGACCTTGCATCTCTCTTATGTCTCAGGATCTTGAAAGTCAGATTGCAAGCATACCGCCAAGGGCTTACATGCGCTGCCAAGTCTAGAGCAGATGGGTAGTATAAATATAATCTAGAACGGGAGTGATCTGGTTCTGAACTGCCTCGGTGTGCTACCCGAAGCCGCAAAGTCGAAATCCCAAACCATAGTGACTATAGTTCCTAGTCAGCTGGGCGGGTGGAAAAAATAGTTCCTAAGCCCTAAATTTTCCGAGTTGCGAGAGTCCAAACCCTAAAGCCTAAGACCTTAGACCCGAAACCGACTGTTTGCCCGCCCTCCTTCCATTGGCTCGGCTCCTGGATTCGGGAGAGCTGGACATACATATACATATACATATACATATACATATACATATACATATACATATATACATGTGTATTCATATATATATATATACATACATATGTATATACATATATATATATGTGTATATATATATGTATACATAGAAAAGCCACCCTAAACCCTAACCCAATGCTATGTTCGCGCCCATTTGTTTGGGGGCCTGATTGCTCAGGAGATGATCTTAGAGCAGTTTGTCGCGGAGGCACTCCCCATCCTTAGGTTTACCGGTTTAGGCTTTGCAGTATATAAGTTTTAGGCATGATATGAAGTATAGCTCATGTTGGACAGTGGATATGGGCGTAGCGGGGCTCATCACCATCATCTTGACGATTGGTGACTGTATATGTTTGTTTTTCATGGTGATCTTGGTAGTGACTGGCAGTAGCAGCATCCGGTATCGCAGTCGAGGGGTACCTAAGCTCGTGCAGCTGTTTGGATTTGGTCATTGATAGCCTCCGCTGCAAGCACCGGGCTTAAGCGGACATCCATAGAGGTAAATGGACGCCATAGACCTTGCGGACTCATTTGCCAATTGTTTTTTGGAGTTGCTGGCCTAGCCCGGTAAATGTGCCTGTCCAATGTTTTAGTCCAAAAACTTCGGGAACCCGAAGGTAGCCTTCTTTTTCGGCCCCAAGCTGCGTCCCAGGCACCAATCTAAAGCCAAACAGCAATCATGGCACCCATGCCCTTGCTCTCCAACTCCCCCTTCTCTCCGAAGACAAGGGAAAACACAAGAAACGGGACGCTATACCTCTGGAACCCTTCATCCTACCCAATGCAGGCCCTCTTTGAGCTATTGGAAACACGAGTTCGTGATCGTGTGTGTGTCTTTTTGGCGTAGACACCCTGAACTAGATTCTAGATGGGCTTTTGGGGTTGACGGTTTCAGGTTTAGTTTTTTGGGTGCGGCTTTCGGGTCTTAGGGTGTTTAGGGTTGAGGGCTTTGAGGAAGAACCTGGATAACTCAAAGATTCCCTACCTGGTTGCGAACCTCAGACCTCTTCCAAGCCCGTCATGCTATCCCGTGAAAGTAGCCCAATTCTGATATTGGGGTTTGGTAACGCTCTCATGGATTCGCTCGACAATCCAAGCACCTTCAAGTCCCCAGGAACCTACACCGGAAGCCCCAGAAACTGTTAAACGGCGGGACATCCTTATGAGTAGTATTCTAGATTCTAGATGGAGGGTGGTTTGGTGTGTGTGTATATATATATATATGCATATAGACACATATACACATGCATTCAGATGTATGTTTATGTACATGTGCATGTATGTATGTATGTATGTATGTATGTATGTGCAAACATATACACACACATATATATATATACACATACACATTTATACTTATATTTATGTTTTTTTATGTATGCATGCATGCATGCATATGCCCACATATATAAAAGCTTTTACATACATATGTACGTATATACATACACACTTGTACACACAGGCACATACACACACAGAGGTGTATATATATATATAGACAGAGAGAGATGTATATAGATATGTAAATGTAAGTATATACACACTTATGTGCATGATTGTGTACACATGTGTATGTATGCATGTAAAGTGTGTATGCAGGCATGTGTGTGCGTACATGTGTATGTATGTATATGTACGTTTGCATGAAAGTATGTGTGTGTGTTGGTGTTGTATTGTTGTATGTATGTATGTATGTATGTATGTATGTATGTATGTATGTATGTATGTATATGTACGTTTGCATGAAAGTATGTGGGTGCGTGTGTTGTGTGTTGTATGTATGTATGTATGTATGTATGTATGTATGTATGTATGTATATGTATGTATATGTATGTATATGTATGCATATGTATGTATGTGTATGTATATGTATGTATGTATGTATGTATGTATGTATGTATGTATGTATGTATGTGTGTGTATGTATATGTATATGTATATGTACATGCATATGTATATGTATATGTATTTGTAATATGTAATATGTAATTTGTAATATGTAATATGTATATGCATGTGTATGTGTATGTGTATGTGTATGTGGATATACATACCTATGAACAAGCTTGGGTGTAGTTGTTCCTGCATCGATTTCCATTTCTGGACTCCTTGTTTACTAACCACCCACCAAGGCCCAATGCGATGCAAGCTCGGACCGAAAAGGGGCTTTTGGCTTGAGCAAGCCATACCCGCGGGCATCAATAAGCCCTATAAAACCTTTGTACCCATACCTATACCCAAGAACGGAACCCCCAAACACCCGAACATCCCCAATGATGAAACTAAGCCCTGAAACCCTGAACCTTACAAGTTTCAAGTGCAGTGGCCATGGGACAGAGTTCCAGCCAGGGCTGCTGCGAAACCAGTGAAACCCGTGAACTTGAGCACGTCCCTAGGTTGCTCTTGGCATGACAGGTAAGTGGGGATTTGTTTTTATAATGGTGACACAGGCGTTGTTCAGGGCATGTAAGTTGTTGCCCATAATGGCTCCTGTTTGGGGTTGCCTAGGGCTTATTGACAACCCAGGTCAAAGCTGAAGCCAAGGGAACATCGCCAGAACTTCCCAAAGTGGAAAGCCAGGAAAGTCTGGCGAATTCTCTGCCCGACGAGTTTACTCCGGTGACCATTGCCAAGTCGAAATGTACAGACCGAGACCTCATGCAGTTGAACGAAGAGTTGGTGCGAGGAGTTCCGCTACGTCAAACTCTACAGTCCTGGGGAGGTCTTTGGCGTTTGAAGCCGGTGGAGATGGATCCTGTGCAGCAGGCCCGCATCTACGAATTTTCCCGGCAGGTCAGCCGTCTGGACAAGTTCCTGTCGCACGCCTGGCATACCCCTGGATGGAGAAAGTTCCTATCGCTTCTTGTCCAGTCCGGCTCTCCATTCATGCTTGCTTGCTGGACTATAGGCACAGGCCTCGCCTTTGCCCTTTGCATGCTGGATGTTCTGCCTTTGTTCTACACCACAAGAACGTGGTCCCAACAACAGGACGGTTGGGAAGTTGGGTGTCTCCTTGGTAAGAACAGGCTGCACTAGGCTCATGGTCTTGAAAAACCATGACTCTTGAATTGTATTTTTATGATCCCTCAGACCAAAATCTTGAAACGTAAACCCTAAATCCAAAGCCTTGAAGCGGTAGATGCAGCACTCCGACAGGACATGGCTGTAGGATGCTGGGTGACGCTGGCCGGCCTGGTGTCGGGAATCGGAAGCTTGCTTGTGGTTAGAACGAAATGACGGAATGGGCAGGCAAATGAAACTGCGGTTTAGGGCGTATGGTATCGGATCGTTAGGGAATGCATGGATGAATAGAAGGTGGAAATTCTGTATTGCTTACGGCCTTTGGGGCGGTGGCTAGAGGGAACCATAGGGAAGCCATATGGGGTTTGGCAATAACATGTGACATGTCCTCCTTCCTTATATACCAACAAGCAGCAAGGAAGCTTGCTGGTTTCTCCATATCTGCCTCGCAATGGGCCGACATGCTTCCTGGATTTGGTTTGTGTCCATCAGACAGACGAAGCCCTTATGAAGCAAGGGATCTACAACATCGGAGGCGTCCTGTCCGTTTCCGCAAACTTGCACGTGCTGTGGAGCGCGCCGTACTTGTCCAGGTGAGGGGTCATGAATTCCCCCCTATAGTTGCCAAGCTCGTAAAGTCCTGCAGACCGAACCATAGCATTGATTTTGCATAATGGTAGTACGTAGGCGCTATAACGGCGTAAAATCTTCTTGAGGGTCAAGCGGATGGGTGCGGTGTCTACGCTTACGCGGTCCCTCAGGCTGTGGTGTGTGTTTGAGTTGGCGGCATATCGCAAGATGAACCCTGCTGGAAGGATTACAATTGCCCCGCTATATCTCGAGAACTTTGCATGTCAGGTTTTCCTGTGCCTCCATGCCATTAGCGTCGTGCTATCCTTCGGAAGAATATTTTATGATCTGGGCCAAGTATTTGTGCTGGCAGTGCTGGGAGGAGCGGGTGTTTGCTCCTTTCCCCTCGCATACTCGCTGCGGCAACACAGCCTTGAAAGACAGCGACTCCTTTCAGGCTTGGACACCTTTGAGGTAAGGGAGGCTTGGCCTCGGCAAGTATCATTTTCGAACATGTGTAATTGGACCTGTCTGCGAGATAAATACAATATGAATATACTCTGTATGTGACTTGCGTGTTATTCGTTGGCTTATTTGTTCACGTGTGTACATTTCCTGAACTCTGTCACTATGCGGTTAAAAATTTTAGATACATCCTACAGACTTATCCTGCATAATCCCGCCCCCCCTAGCATTAAAAGGGAGGGCCCGCCCCCCCCCCCCC